ATGTAATTTGGTATAAATGTTATTGGACGATGTATGGAATTTAATACGCACCGCGCGAAAAGCGTCATTTTTATTTAAAATTTATTTTTTATCAAAAATTGTTGACATTTGTTTAATTAAAATGTAAAGTGGTATAAATGTTATTGGAATATGTATGGGATATAATTCGCAGCGCGCGCGAAGCGCGCGCCTGTTATGTATGTACTAGTTTCTTAAATTGAAAATACATTGTTCGTATAAGAAAATTCTAAGTTTAGGTAAAATAATATAATATAATAAAATAAAAAGGAAAGCCAGTATAAAATTGCATTTGAGATGATTTATTCTTTCCATCAAGAAATATCCAAATTAACTTTATCATTATATTTTGTTCATATAGCACGAAATAGTAACAAATAATACACATGACACGGAACAAAGTCGAAAACTGTGTTACTCGCTGGAAATACCCGTAATCTGAGAGAGGATAATTTAATTTCGAATGCGTAATTTTCCGAGAATATATAAATTAGGCCCCAGCAGTCTCGAAAGGTAGCACGGACACGCACCACAAATTATATACCCGCGGTGCAGAAAAGTGAATGTTGCTAGTAGTTTACATCCATTTCTTTAGGGGGCATTAGTGCACGAGGTCATTTTGAGGTAACAGGCAAAAGGCCGTCATATCCTCTCTCTAATATTACATTTGTGTTTCATGCAATCAGCTGTCAGCTGTCGTTTTTTTCACGCTTTGCAATTCGGAGTATATTTCCGGAGTATATTTATTTTTGGAGTCCTTAAGAATTTTTCGTTTAATTCATTTAATTTAAATTATTTGAAAATATACGTCAGAGTATATCTATACATATAACTCGATTATTTAACGTCTACTTATAAATATATTGTGCACATAAGAAGAAGTACAATTATACGAAACACCATAAAATTATTGACCATGGCTTCCGCGGATGTGGAGGATGACATTTATACGGGATATAATGATTACCCATCAGTTTATAACATTAAAGATCTCGAGGAGGATGAATTATTTCAAGAAGTTATCAGGACAAGCTATGGAAAAAGATCAATAGTGAGTATATAACAATTAGTTTATTTCTAGTGTTGCTGAAACTCCTTTATTCATGCATTTTATATTGAATAATGCAATATTTATTATTAAATTGTATATATTAGCAACTAATTACTTCTTTTCAAGCTATATATGTATTTTATTTAATATGTGACAGTTTACTCCAAAGACGCCGGGCACTGCAATGCGGTTTGGAACATCAAGTCGAGTAAGTTATTTGGAGTTTATACGTAGTAAACTACATATAGTAAGATATCCTACTGTAAACAATTTAATTGCAGTTTTTGCTAATTTAGAATAAATTTTTTCTTAACACAGTAAAGTATTAATATTTTATTTTATAGATTTTGTGTGCAATAGATTTTGTGTGCAAATAGACGGCATATATACACTATCGTATTTTATAATCATTGTATTTATTATTTTAAATAAATTTTGTTTTAATAACATTCAAATTAAATTTTTTTATAAGAACGTTTATAATATAAAAATTAAAGAAAAATTCATTTTTCGAATTAGATAAAGAATCTGTTATTAACCTATGTGATATCTTGTCGATACGACAAGATACTCTATTTCTTATAGTGTATTACAATTTTATATACGCTTGGTTTTATATTTTAAATATAATACTTGAATATGTTGCGCTTTTATTTTTTTTAGTTTCAAAGAAGTGGTACTACTACATCAATGCAACCCATGGCCGGTGGACTTAGACCTATGACAGCGGTGAGGAGTGCCGGATATACTAGCAGCCGACAAGCTTTTGATCCTCTCAACATGGGGACTAGTTCTAAAGTTCCTACGCCTGCATTGGAAACTACCAAAGAAGACACGTAAGTATTATATTTATATTTTACTTGCTTATATATATATATAGTACTGAAAGCGTTACATTAAATTATATTTCTATGAATTTTTTTTCTATTTAAGACCGGAAGAAAAGATAAAAACAACCGAAAGGAAAATAATGGGTTTGATCGAAACTTCTGCGCAGGCAGCTTCAGAAAATAATGTGAAGATTGCCTTAGAACGTGCGCGTGAAGCTTCTTCAAGGGAAAGAGCTCTTATACGATTACAGGAACAAGCTGGTCTCAGTGATAATCACAATATAGACTTAACGTTTGCCGTAAGTCTATTAAATTATTATGTACTTTTTAAATTTATAATTAAATCATTATTGATTCTTACATTAATAAATTTTGACGTTAAATATGTCATTCACTTTTTTAAGAAATGAACGATACAAAATAATATGACTGACAGTACACAGAATTGTTACATATATTTATGTAAAGACGGAGAGTGTTGCACGTTTTAATTACACAAACATTCGGCAACTCGTTGTTAAGACACAAACAAGAAAACAATACGGGCGTTAATACGAAAATTGCGACAAAAAAGTTACAATTCAACCATTGCTTGATTTCTATCTTATTTTCTGCAGGTGCTGTTCAACTTAGCGGTCCAGTATACAAACAATGAAATGTATACAGAGGCTATAGCGACTTATCAAGCTATAACAAGGAACAGGATGTTTAGTAATA